GCGGAGCCGGGCTCCGGGCCGGCCGGGCTCCGCGCCTGTCAAACCCCTCATTGTTCGCAGCTGATGTCACTCGCAGTTGTGAGCGGCCGCCTCTCCCGGGGACAATGTGGGACTGAGCGGCCCAGCCGCCGCGCCGCCGCCGCAGGACAGCCCCAGCGAGGTAGGGCGCAGGCCAGGCGGGGCACCGCGGGTCGCGAAGTTTGGGGGTTCAGCCGCGGGCGGGAAGCCGGCGCCCGAGTCCACAGGCCAGGGTCCCGGGTTTGGGGGGACTGGGAGACTGCGAGGAAGACGCGCCCTGTCCCACACGGGCCCAGGCCTGCACAGGTGGGGGGCGCTGGTCGTCCAGAGGAGCCCCCAACACCAGGGAGGAGCTTCCTGGACCTGAGACCCCAGATTGGAGGCCCTCATCCCACCTGCTGTTTCTGTCCTTTGGACCTGCTCTTCTTTCGACCTCCTGGCCTGGGTTCTGGTTCTGCTGGGTCTCTGTTCTCATCTGCCATCCCCCTTCAGGTCCTGGCTTGGCACACACCCCTTCCCATTTTCTGCAGTCTTTGGTGGGGCCAGACACAGACCTCCAAGCCAGAGGTGTGTGGAGATGACAGTTGGAGGCTCAGAGTGGTCCCCGGTGCCCTGTGGCTCTCAGCCCTTCAGCTCTTCCCTGGCTTCTTGGAGTCTTGGGGGGGTGGGGGCTTTGGCTACTCACTTCAGCCTGGCCCCGATGCCTGCCTGGTCTGGAGAGGGAGGCGCCTGCCTCCTCAGTCCCCTATCCCAGGCCCGCCATCTTGAGACCTGTGGCACCCAGTGCCCCACCCGGCCCTAGCACCCCGGGGAGTGGTCTTCAAGGGATTCACCCAGAGTAAGTTGCATTCCCTCCTCCCAGAATGTGGGCTCTTGGTCCCCACCAAGCCCAGGATGATTACCTTCATGCTGGACTATCATGGCATGTGTCCCCAGGGGCCCTCTTTCCCGCACCCACATGAAGAGCTGTTCGACCCCTGGAAGCTTAAACCTCAACTCTGGCCTTCACTGTTTCTTGGAGTTACCCTCATTGCCTCAGGGCCAGCGCCTAGGACCCTATCCTTTTCCAATATGAAGGTCCCCTAGCCCCTCCAGGCCCTGGAACCCTCTCAACCTCCAAGGCGCCCCCATCCCAGCCCGCCCCCCCCCCAGCCTTCATCAGCATGCAGGCTCAGGCTGCCCAAACACAAGGGGATTGTTCTTCTTGCATGCTCAGGGTGGGGGGCTGGGAGCAGGCGGCCCACACACCCTGGCAGGCCCAGGCCACAGGGAGGCTGGCTATGCCCCGCCCTGTGTCCCCAGACAGGCTCTGTCCACCCTGCTTACTCCCATCACTGCCCCCCGCTCCAGCCTCCATCACCATCGCCCAGTGGCGCAGACCTCTTCAGGAAAGAGCTCTGAGCCGCACAGGTGGAACCCCTGGGCTCGCCCAGCTCTGCCAGTTGCCTCTCATGTAGCCTTCCAAACAAACCCCTTCCTCTCTGGTCCTCAGGTTCCTCTCCGGTGAGGCCCTTCCAGCTGTGACAGGCTGAGCCGGCTTTGTGAAACTTATGCCACACCCCAGCTCTTCTTCCAGCGCCTGTTTCCCATGGGGAAACCCACTCTGGGTCCCCAGAAGTCTCAAAGCATGGCGTACACCCTTCACCCTAGTGACATGCCCGGGGAGCCCCAAGACCCAGAGAAACACTAGGAGCAGGGGCTGTGGGTGCTGAGGAATAGGAACTGGGAATCCTCTCCAGCCAGACCCTGGCTCTCCCATGTGACTGGTCCTGTGCCTGGGGTCTGTTTTCCCTACCGTCACTGCTCCTCCGGGACCGTTAGCCCCATCTCTGGTCCCTAATGCGTGAGGCCTCTTCTCCCTGCACGCTGAACCTGGTTCTGGTTTCTGCCCTCCTCTCTGTATTGTGGGAAGATAGGCTTCGAAATGCCCAATCGGGGCTTCTTTGAGTTGCAGGCATATCTGTGGGGGACACAGAGGCCTGAGTAATTATATCTGACTTGGAAGGTTGGGAAGGGCTTCACGGGGGAGGTGGCATGTGAGAAGGATTTTTGACAGAGAGTGGGGAGATGGGTGTTTCAAGCTGGGATCAGCCTGGACAGAGGCCCAGAGGCCTGGAGGTGCTAGGCGTGTTTTGCAGCCTGGTGTGTGTGTGAGGGGGTGATGGGGTGGAGATGAGACAAGAGAAGTTGGCAGAGGCCAGATCATGAAGGGCCTTGAGTGCCTGTCTAGGGTGATCAAGCTTTGCTCCTTGGGCACTGGGGAGCCAAGGACGGCTGTTGAGCAGCAGAGTGACTCAGTCTCCAGAATGCAGAATGGAAGCTAGAGACCTTTCTCAAGTTGGGTGAGATGAGGGGCTGGGTACCAGTGGGTGGGGCTGTCCCACAAAACTGCCCTTTCTCCTGGAACCCAGCCTGGGCCTGGCCTGCCTTGTTTTCTCTCGGCTCTGAGAACCCTTGGGGGGATGTCTACTGATGCTCTAAGGAGACTGTCACATTTCTGGCACCAGCCAGCTTGTCACAGCTTCCCTTCCCTGCCTAGCACCGAGTCTACAAGACAGCCCTGGGTCAAGAGGCTGGAGCTGGCAGGTCCCCGTCTGCTCCCCTGCAGGCCCCTCCTCCCCTGACTCTCCTAATAAGTGGATGTGAATGGCCATCCTGGGAGGCTGTAAGGTTGGGACTGAGCGAATGGGTCCAGATCCAAGGATGCTGGGGCAGTCCTTGTGGAGGCCTGGCTAAGCAGGAAGGGTGAGCATGCCCAGAGAAGGGGACAAGCCGGGGAGTTAGATTCCCTCAGTGCTCCCAGGCCCCACGCCCACCCCCTGCCACGCCCTGCGTCGCCTGATGCCTGAGCCGTGCCCCAGCATCACGGGGTGTGGCCAGCATGGCTGCTTTGGGAGTAGAAGTTGAAGGGGGCTGCTAAGTTGGGGGCTGGAGGGGCTGAAGGGGATGTTGGGGGATGTGAGGTGGGGGATGAACTTGGAGACTAGACCCCTCTCTCTCTCCCCAGCCCAGGTGGGTCTGCAAGTCCTAGTTGCTCCAGACCCTCTGGCCAGCAGAGCTGAGGGAATCCCCCAAGGGGCGGGCCAGTCCACTTGAGTCGCCTGGCCCCGGGAGCCCTCCCCTCCCCTCCTCCGGATTGTTCTTGCTCCAGAACAAAGCCAGGGTGGACACTTGATCCCAGCATGTGGGGGGAGCTGGCTAAGCCCCCAGCCCTTTGATTGGGCAGCTGTCATGAGAGAGAGAGAGAGAGAGAGAGAGAG